GTGAAGGGACTTGTGACTGGCCTTGTGAAGGGAATTGCAACTGGCCTTGTGAAGGGACTTTGGTATTCTTTAGTGCAAACTCCCCTTGGATATATCCAAACGTGACTAATCACTATCAATGCATGTTTCATATCCCGTGTTTCCCCAAACTCTGTTAAAATAAAAACCGTATGAATGCAGTCCCTACAGATATGACAAAGTGTGAGTCTTTCCAGCGAGCGGATAAGACCATTAATTATACAGTGTATCTAGCTTACTCCTACTGCACCAACGTGAATTCTTCCTGGTGCAAAGTTAAGTTGGATTATTAGAAACGTTGCTCTTAGTTTCTACAACCAATATCTTGAAAGCCGTGTATAGCTTGATTTTCCAGTAATGGATTTCCCACATTTTCAAAGTCTTAAGTCAAATGCTAAAAAAATGAAACCAAACTTGTTAAGACCGCAAACCTTCCTGGTTTCATAGTATCCTTGATGGAAAAAAAACATTTCATTATATTCTTTCACTGCATGTGGATTTCATATCACACTCCACCTGACATTATATCCTTTTTTTTATAATCTGGAGTCTGATGTAACCAGAAGATAATATGTTTGTAAAGGGATCCAGGAAGTGTGAACATAGAAAAAAATAATCAGAAAACTTAAGCAGGAAATGTATAACATGTTCCAGTTCATGAAAATTGCCTTGCAAGAAGGAAATTACGAACAAATTGTGATAAGCAAAGACCGTACAGAGCAATAATTTGACTCATGCAAGCAATGACCACAATCTTTCAACTAATGTAAGTGCCGGTACACTGTCTCTTTGTTTGATGGGTAAAAAGCAACAGATTCTGACTCATGAACCCAGTTTGCCAGTCAAACCAATAATCAACAAATAATAACCACATCTAAACTAAAACAAGCTTGCCTAATTCTCTACAATTTGATACAAAACTGAAATCCAATGATATCGGTACATACATGTACATGTAGTTCCTTTGTACAGTGTAACATGTCCATGTACATTCATGTCATTATGCATCTTCAACGTCATAGCAAATAATCAGGGGATTGCAGAGTTTAGAATGCAAACAGTAATTCACTGCAAACATGGCATGCAAGGTTGTTAGATTGAGGACAGTCAAGGTCAAAGAAGTTTAACCATTTTGGCCTAAATGGACAAAAGCCTAAGAACATATGGTAATTCTTTAACAGTAGCCAATCAGCGTTGCTGATATAAAAATGTTATAAATCCCCTACACTGCCAGAAGCAACAAATTTCAACAATAATCCCATGTTCTCCCCTTGCGTTAAAACCTTGGCAATTATTAAAAATCCATGTACATGTGCATCTATGAAGTTCTAATCCAACTGGGTGCAGGATTTTACTGAAAAGCTTATTTGACACCTTTGCCTGACAGTGTTTAAAATTTGGGTCATTACAATTTTCATCCAATTTTTAAAATGAGCTCAATACACTTGCAGAAAATCTTATGAAAGCCTGGGGCAATTGCATAATGTGGTGATAACATAAGGGAAATATACAGAGGTCCCCTAGCCTCTTAAGGGTGAGGGTTCTTGTCTTGGTAGGACTCACTTTACCCTGGGGCAGTCTGTGTGTACCTGGACAGAATAATGACTCCTATTTACACGAAGCTCAAATCCCCTCAAACCACAAGATAGAAAGCAGAGAAACAACTTTCAATGGTATCCCTGCACTTTTAAAGTGACCCTAAACACAGTAATGTGACAAGTTTAGGAAGGCAAGAAACAGCCTCTTCAATATTTGTGCAGGTTTAACATTTCACTTCTGTGACTTCACAACAAGGAATCTTCTGACGCTGACATAGAGGTTTATAAGCAGGACTTCCAGTTAGAAGCTTAATATCTTGAACCTTGAACAGTCATTATTTACATAAATTACCAATCATTGGTTCCTATTAAAAACTTTACAAATCTGCTCCACAACTATTTTCTCACATCTGACTTCAAGGTAGACAAACCAACAATGAGAAATTTATTTATTTGTTTAACATTTCACTTCTGTGACTTCACAACAAGGAATCTTCTGACGCTGACATAGAGGTTTATAAGCAGGACTTCCAGTTAGAAGCTTAATATCTTGAACCTTGAACAGTCATTATTTACATAAATTACCAATCATTGGTTCCTATTAAAAACTTTACATATCTGCTCCACAACTATTTTCTCACATCTGACTTCAAGATAGACAAACCAACAATGAGAAATTTATTTATTAACAACTATCAAAGAGGGCGTAAAACCTTGGTACATGTATAATGAATATTCAGCATATTTCAGGACCCACCTTCCCACGTTAGGGTAATATGTAAATTTTTTGACTAATATGACCAAATACGGTTAACATGGGAAAATTTGAAAACGTGTGGAATTTCAAAATTTGCATGACATTTGGATTAATTAGCATGATCTCTGCAGGGTTAAAACTGTAGTGAAGCATTGGAGAGGCAGCAGACAGATCTTGACATAGAGAGACTCCTGATCGGTCATCATGCGATAGCACATTTTGATTTCGTCGATTGAGCGATAGCTCTATGAGAATTTGAGAAACAGAGATAGTTTGTGGCGATAGCCCAAAGCTTCATTGGAAAGCGTTAGCTTAACTTCTTGGAAAGTAAAATCCACGGTTGAGAAGTTAATCTACGGAGACCGATCGTTGTTTCAAGCCAGGGAGTCAGACTTTAAGACTGTTCGCTCGCCTTAAAACTGTAGGTTGGTATTTTGTTGTAGAAAGCTATTTTGTATAATTTTTAGTCATTTTGCTTTAATTATTGTATTCAAGATAAATTCGAAATGTCAAGATTACCTCTTATAAGAAACAGTCAATGTTCGTGTGGAAATCCCGTGCATACTGCTTGGATTCATGTTTGTAGAACGGCAACGCCCAGCTTGCATTATTCATAGTGACTATTGTGTCCACATGCATAGCCCTACCTTTGTAGATTTAACGCAACACGGTGTTGTGTAGAAAACGCATTGATTTTTGGTATTATTTCTGCATAGTTTTGGAGCTTTACTGTAAATACGGCAATAGCCTTATACTTTTTAATTCTAAATTTCACAGGACTCCCTTTAGTAGAGTTTCAGTAGTAGAATCTTCCTCTTTGAGGGAGAGGCTACCCCGTTACCCCGAAGAGAACCATAGCGTCGTGGGAACGGAGGACCTAGAAAGGGGGACTTGCGACCACACTACCTTATCAAATTGACGGAGATCCCCAGAGCGTTCAGCCAGTGGAGTGACGACACGCTGGAGGACATGCATGAGTACTCATATGGGGGATAGTAATATAATGAATTTGTATTTGTAATGTTGTGCTTAATATATTTTTAGTTTGGTGTAAATTCTTGAAAACCAGACTCACAAGCTCTATCAAGGATTTTGTGAAGATTGTAAATAATAATAATTTTTTTTTTTACTTTTTTGTTGTATAGATTACTACCAGTTCCTGAAAGTTTCTTTTAATGGCTTTGTTGACAGTGAGTGAATATAAAAAGTGATCAATCTATATTCTTTGGACCCGGTTTGTGACAACAACAATCATGAATTTCCAATTCCTGAAGATAACCTACATGTATCAAGCGTGCTGTTTTGGAAAATCTTTGATAGTGCCTAGGAATGACTGTCATAACCGAATGCAGGGAATGTAGGATTGAAGAAACCCTGTGGAGTAAAAATACCACTCAAGTTGAATTCCTCCTGCGATTGGCAATGATATGAGAGTGATAATGCTATGTTACATGTTTTCATAGCAGCCTCAGGAACCACATACTGTTTACCACTCTCATTCAGGAAATGATTGAGGGTTTCTGCAGTTTTGTCATGTACCGGTACAGTACTTTTAGTGTATTGGCTTGGAAAGTTGTTAAAAATAGCCATTCTTATCAGGCCCAGCATGCAGCAAGTCGTGACCTTGGTCAGCCAAGTCCACGCTACCAGTATATCTGTTGCAGAATCCTGACGCCAAAGTGCTAGAAATCCTTAAATCAAATGGCTTCACATTTAGAATTCTGCAGTCATATCCCTTGGGTCAAGATGAATTCCAAATTCCTCTGAATCTATGAATGAACTCAAAGAGGGCATTTGGACTGCCTAATTATGAAGGCAAGTAAATAGGCATTTTATTGACATGAAAGCATAAGTCTAATGACTCTCTGATAGGATTATGGGATCCATCTGTTTTGGGTACTTGAAGAAACTTCCTTCGTTAGTTGAACATTTTCAATTGATCCCATTTGAAAATGTTCAACTTTATGCCAATTTGGATCTTTTAACCCTAACCCTACATAATACTACAAATTACTACTTGTTGTAAAATGTAGTACTGAGCGCTGTTGCTTGTAAGAGGACATGACTTTATTGTTCTGTGAAGCCATAAAATACAATAGAGAAGACAATGTACCATAAAGTGCTGTGGCACTATGAATGCATGGCTTTATTGTTCTCTGTACAAGTAACAGTGGAAGTAACCTAGCCAGAAGTAGTAATCTGTAGCGCTAGGTCCTTCAGGCTCAGACTATTACTTAGTATTTTGTAGTACTGTGTAGTGTAAGCCAAACGATATGCTTGGCGGTTAGGATTAAAAACCCCAAACTTTTCATACATCTACCTCACTTAGCCATCAATTTGTTAGATGTTAGATAATGAGTCATACCCTGTACATGCAATGGGGAATTCCTTAGACTATGACTTCAGACTATGCTTCCATCATTTTTCCACCTCATAGGAACTTTACTCGTTCTATGTTGTCAATTCGGTTAAGTAACGTCAAGCACTCAATTTCATACCCAGAGATACCATGTAAGTTAAAACTACAGTAGTTAAAATCATGGACTTTGATGAAAGAAGAATTCAGTGGCAGGGTTATAAGTAAGGATGCACCAGGGTATGGTGCTAACTTAACTGAGCTAACTTGATCATGTACAGTCAATGATGGTTAGATAAAAACTACCTGTGTTACCAAGTTGGTAGCAGGACAGTTGGATACCAACACCAAGGTGAATTAGAAAGCACCGCAGGGAACCATGGACTGCTCACTTTCATAACTACAACTTTGTCAAGCTAGAGAGTCTTCTAGGTGAAACAAGAGGTGAGTAATAATCCTTGTTAACGAAGAATTTTTGCTCAGACTTACTTCCAAGGGTTGAAAAAGCATCAAGAGGCATAGGTTGAGGTTTACCTGGCATGCAGAGTTCATGAAGCCTCTGAAAGCTTGTCTGGATGTCTCGATAGGATGGACAAAGTCGACCGAGATCCAAGACATCAGGCTGGGCCTTGGAGGGATGGATCAGGGTTAGACTGCCTAACATGCTGGTAATGGAATTGGGCAAGAGATGGAAGTGGATGGGGTTAGAATCCCACTCAAGTAGATTAAAAACTTCATCGTCACAGGCTATTTATAAAAAAAAAACACTCTCTAATGACCAAGTAATTCTTAAATGATCAATCATCCCTCTCAAGAAACCAGACTTCAATTATTTCAAGACCAAAACTCTTTTGCAGGCATACCCAAAATAAACAGAGTCCAACAAATTTGTGCACAGTTTACCATATGGTGTTGGAATTTGTTTGAACAAATCTGTTGCTTCCACTTGGCTTCAAATCAAAACAAGAAAACTCATAAATCAGGCCAAACTAACTTGATTTCATGGTCTGAATGGACTGTCTCAGCCCGAAGTGGAACTGCTCTCATTAACATACTCCCATTGCTATGACTCCAACACCACATCTGAGGAAAAGCAAGAAGGGTAGAAAAGTACAAACTCAGTCTAAAACCAGAAGCACAGTGGAGTTTTGACAGCACTCAAATCATTACTGTTAAAAGTATTCTATATTCAAAGAATAAATACGGTAAATTAAAAGAAAATATTTAACACCACCTGACTTTGTAAAATGGTATTTCTTTAGTTACTGTACTTCACTGATATTTAACCTGGTGTTATTATTGAATGTGAAGTCATTTATCAATACAAATAATTTAGTGCAAATTGTCATAAATTTTGCATATTTTGGACTGTCACTTACGGGTACTCTGCCGCCTTCAAAGTGTGGGGCTGCTTGGATCAGTTCCCCATCAGACACAACCGATGGAACCACAAAAACTTCTGGAAGACTGAAAGACAAAATCAGCAAACAACATCACACTACTGAACTCTGTTCTCTAACCCTCAAAATAACGTCACAGAATGACTCCCCAACTTTTGCATATGAAGCTTGCCAGATTCTTTTCCTGCAATCACTCGATTATTCCATGATAAATGGAAAACATCTGGCTAATGTCACAGCTTTCCCTACATACTGAGCAAAACATTATATTTTGACTCTTGGTTTTTTGTTATTTTCACTGATGAATTCTTAAATGACTGGTCATTCTTGTTCACCAAATTAGACTGTGAACTTTAACGTATGGAGACCTTGAAGTCTTTACTAGCTAGACATTTCAACATCAATAAACATTTAAATTGTAATAAAAGAAGCCATTGAAGTTCATGTAAGATTTCACAGTAAAGCTTAAGTTGGTGGTAAGCCACGTACCTCTCTGATATTCTGAAGTCCTGATTGACAGCAGTCACTCTCAAATTCCTAGCTCCTGTCCTATCGATCTCATCTTGCCAGTCTTCATATCGTCTGAATTGTGGTGTCCGACCTGCTCTCTCCATAGGTTCACTTCTCTCAGGCATGTCACTGATGGCAGATATTCGCTGGGAGGAAGGCCGGTATACTGCAGTCACCTGCTTCCAGAAACAAACAGAGAGAAATTGGCCTGACAGGTACAATGAGGTGCTATTAAAAACATTTCAACTTTTGAAATATTTGGGATTATAATAACTAATCATTGTATACAATGTTCAGAGACAAAGGAACATTAGGATTCAAGTACTTACATGGAACAGTAGAATTTTTATAGATATTGGAATTGGTGTAGGTATGTACATGTACAATGTATGTACTGTTTTTGCCAGAAATGTTTTTGCAAGATATGAACAGTATGAATTAACACATCACGTTTTGGGAGCGTACATGAATTTACAGATTATCCATATCTTAAAGTGTTGATCTTTACAAAACTCATCTAATCAAAGTCTTTTTTCATGGGAGTTCACTTACTGCTACCTTCGGTGCTTTCTTAGCGTTGAGTGACTTCCACTCCTTGCCACCTTTGATATTCTGTGAGTCTGTTGCATGATTGGTTGCTTTAGAAGAGGATAACGATGAAGATGACAGTGGTAACTCAAAGGAGAAGGCAAAAAGACGATGCAGATTGGTGATGTAGGCATAGTGTAGAATGGTGTTCATCACCTGTACGAGGAGATAACGAGATGGAAGAAGCACCTACTAAATTACATGAGCGTTTTGTCTTGAAAGAGCTTGCTGGGCAAGACCTGGTTCCCTTTCAAAATGCCACACTAGGTATATGTCTGAGGCTGGTTCCTGGCTGATTAAATCATAAATCTGTGGACTGATTACTTCTAGAGAAGATTTCAAATGAGACAAATTCCGATTTTAATTTTCTTAGCTACCGGTATTACATGTAACTAGATCTTTTCATAAAAACCTTGGTAGACACTTGGTAAATATAGAAATCTGAAAGCTGCAAGTAATGCCACCTTCTTGTCAGATCTGAACGGACTAACATTAGAAATGATTACTTTATATTTTATAAATCAAGAGACAGAACAAGTACATGTACTTGTGCATGTATGTACACGTACGGTACATACATGCACCTTAGACTGTGGTTACAAATCAACAACTCGTCACTGGCAGTTCACTTCCCGCAAATGGAAAAATGAAGCTTATTTTGACATCATAAAACATTTCCAGGCAAATTTGCTTGAGTTGAAATTTGTTCAATATTTTAGGAATCTGGAATGCAATTATCTAATCTAATGTTTCAAATTCATGTTCCATTTCATTTATTTGTGTAGCCTCTTACTTATACAAGTAGTTATGAATAAGATGCACTCGGGCTCCAGGCAAACACGGTATTTGTGTGAAGACACCTTAAATGCAATATATCCTGAATTTCTTACGGTCTGTTAAGTAAGAAACAGCCCAATAGATTGTCTGAAGTGACACAGCACTACCCTATCACTGACATCTCCTAAATACTGACAGGAAACCGGAAGACCTGGCAACAGTCCAGATAATCTCCTGCTACCGCTTATTTTTGGCAGTCCCTACCCTCTGAGCAACAGAGTGACCCGTCAGGGATATCCCAAGATAAAAATGGATAACTCTGGCATCTTAAAGAAGGACTGACTCTAGGTGTGACTGCTAGACGAGGCAAAGCCTCAACAACAGGAAAGTAGTGTCAGTTAAGAGGGATGTTTTTGAACTGGCTGGCTGCTCTGTGTTTCTACTTCTTGACTCTGGTACAGAGGAGATAACGTACTTGGTCCATTGCTACGGCCTGAATGCACTTGAGGAAAAGGGAAGCCAACAAACCAGGCGAAGGAGAGGCCACCATCAATGAGGAAAATCTGTCTTTCCTGAGGTTGTTAAAGGGAAATTATTTTGTCCTTCATGTACTATGCTCACTTTCATGGCCTCACATGATTAAGTTGGACTCCACAAGTAAAGAACAACTGGAGGTGACTTTGATTGGTGTCACAACCTTTCCCCTGCCCTACTGTACCTTCAGGTAACTAATATACCTGTAAGGAGACATGGTCTCTGCCTGAATCCAACGTAGTCTTCCTTACCGGGGCATTCAGACCAAAGGGTCATAAACAGGAACCAGTAACAGTAGACAGGTAGACAAGAGGATGTTTTTGACAGTACAGGGTTTGAGGGTGTGTTCCTGAGTCCCTAGTAATTTAGCTCAAGACCATGCCAACCCATCAGCAGCATTCAGTCTTTAGGAGCCTCACCCAAGGCTACAATCATATTTTAAAGCAATCAATTTCCTTTTTCTCCTCCCTGGCCAATCAAGATCCAGCGCAATAATGTGGGGATTTTTAGGATTGAGGGAGGTTGAGTCTAGTTGTTGTAACTTATATTGTACATGAAAATACTGCTCTAAAGCACTTTGAAACTAAAAGGAACGGATCTTTTCCTAAAATTTATCTATGTTTCAAATTTGCTATTTTGGGTGATATGTCGCATCAGTGATGTTTTCTCGCAAATACTTTCAATGAGGAAATGTGGGGTGTGCAATTTTAACAGATAAACCTCAGAAACATGAACAATGGTTTATGGTTGAAAAAGTGCACTTTCCAATGAAATCAACCAGAAAGGGAAGTCAGGCAGTTTTTATACAGCAAAGAGAAACAGACAATTGCCTAAAATACACTCGCTCAAAACAAAATTCATGCCAATAGAGTACAAAGATTGTACCATTGATTTCCTTTGGTGGAGGATGTTAGAAGATCCAGGAAGCAACAATGCCCCTGTTGCTACAAGAATTATGGGCAAGTATGTATACATGTACATGTATGCCTGTGTGTACATACATGCATGTACACTGTCTGCTTTAATCAAGTCTGCCCATTTTTATGGTTTACTTTATATGTGCCCTTTCTTGTCTCTTATGTCTAGATTTCTTGCCATATGTGTACATGTCATTGGTGCTTTTTTATTTATCTGTTGGTACCCTTTTAGTCTACTTTTATGAGCTTTATCTTGCCTTGGAATTTGGCAGATATACCAGACATGTACATGTACGCCTTTTAGCAACAGATTAGTTTGAAATTTTCATGCTCCCCTCGGCATCCTGCTGGATTTACTTTATTTTCATAATTTTAATTTATCACCACAAGTGATTTTCATGGTTTGGACAATTTTAACTTTAGTAGACTGGTGCCCTAGCAATGCACATACAAGTATAGACCTAAATCCTGTGTACACTGAAGCTTGTCTTCAAGGGACAAGGCCAAGATGAACGCATGTCGGCATAGAAGTTTCCTGCAATGACTGGCATGTTTTGTAGGAAAGCATTTCATTTTTTTGAAGCTTCAACTTACCGACTTGACCTGGCCTTTGTTGGTAAACTTGAAGCTGAACGTGTGGACTTTGAAGTTCTTGCATTTAATCTCCACCATTTTGATGCTCCTTGAGGCATTGGTACCAGGCTGTAACTGCTTTCGTTTGCTAGAAGATACTGGCCAGGGGTGGGAAAGAACAGTTACTTAACGAGAACATCACACTGATACAACAGAAAGTATATCCATTTCCTTGGAATAATACAAACCCAATGAACAACCCAAATACAAGATCACTTGATGGATTACAGCAAAGGAAATCTAATTACTAGGTTACATGTTGTCAGTAGTCATAGATGTAATCAATTTAGAATACCATCAGCTACTGTGTATGTAAATTGAGGCAATAGTTTTTATGATTTGCTTGTAATGAAGAGGTAAAATAACTTTGAACAGAATCTGTCGAAGTTCAATTTGAAAACAAACATATTCAGAAATGCACAATATTTGCAGCTTTATCAAACACTCACACTTGTCTAAACATGAGATTTTTAAAAAATGAGAGAATTTTCAACAATTTGGGATTTCTCCAAACCATGTGCAATACTCTTTACACTAATGTGATTATAATATTCTTTAATTTATGTCACATACCTTGGAAGATGGTATCCACACATGTAAGTGGTATGTCATTCTCTTTAAAGAGCTGGTTTTTGCGATCTAATTCAATCTGAGGGGGGCAGAAATCAAAAGAAAAAGCTTTAAGTCTTACACATGGAATTGAAATGAAACCAATGATTTCCAAGACCATGTATATGCATTGCATTATGTCTACTGAATGCTAGCCAATATCCTGTATGAAAACAAATCAGCATGTGAATTGTATTTTTCAATATTGGATGTACTGTATATTGTCAATGTCATTACAACATTGATACAAATGTTTACAAATGTATCTTCTCTCATGGAATATATATACATAGATTATACATTGTATAAAACC